GACTCGTTTTCCCAGAGTTGGAAAAGCCGAGTTCTTAAGTATACCTCTTATAATGAAGAAATGTCAAGTCTCCCGCTCTACTTTATAAAAAAGAGCCTTATTACAGCACTGCAATGGGATTCCCCAAGGGAATTCTGCTAGCAGAGGAGAAATCAGCAGAAGGGAGAAATGAGGAAGTCAGGTTGTGAATATGTTCTAGTGAGATGTCTGAATAGAGAGCTGTCAGCTGTCTAAGAAAAAGGCTGCTCTTTTCTGCACTAGCTGTTCAATAGTACAACAGTTTCTGAAGTGGTTATAAATTGGACTGCGCTGTTTTCCAGAATGAATGTTTTAGCTCTGTATGTGTGCATGTACCAAGGTTGCTGTGCTGCTGAGAAGAAAAGAAATACAAGGCTCGTCATCACAATAAGTAGATTTTCTTTGCAGCTCTTGTGATCATAATTGAATAACCTTATCTTCCATTATGAATCATAATGGAAGATAAGGTTATTCAATAAGATTATTACAGTATGGATGACAAGTAAATGCTTAAAGGGTTAGTTCACCCAAAAATGATAATTATCCCATAATTGACTCACCCTCAAGCCATCCTATGTGTATATGACTTTATTCTTTCAGCCGAACACGATCGGATGCATGTAAAAAAATATCCTGGCTCTTCCAAGCTTTATAATGGGAGTGAATAGAGCCTGAGTTTTTGAAGAATAAAAAAACGCATCCATCCATCATAAAAGTAATCCATACGGCTCCAGGGGTTAATAAAGGCCTTCTGAAGTGAATTATCCATATTGATCTTTTTATAAACTATAATCACTGACTTCCGGTAATGGCCGTACGCGAGTCAAGTTCCGGCGGAAGAGTGACCTCCGACCCGACGCGTGACGTATTGACAAACGCGGAAGCACAGAGGAAAGAGCGAAACAAAACACCGGTCACGAATTAGAAGAATTTTTCAAGAGAAATCTCAGAGGAGCTTGAGTTTGTTGTTTGAACCGCGAGAGGCGTCTTCTCTCACCGAAGCTTATGCAAAGCCTACATCCTACGTCATGCGTCGGGTCAGAGGTCACTCTTTCACCGGAACTAGACTCTCGTACCACCGTTACCGGAAGCCAGTGATTATAGTTTATAAAGTTATAAATATGAATATTTTTCTTTTAAAACACGCATCGCTTCGCTTCAGAAGGCCTTTGTTAACCCCTGGAGCCGTATTGATTACTTTTTGGCCTTCAAAATCTCCCATTATAAAGCTTGGAAGAGCCAGGATATTTTTTTATATAACTCCGATTGTATTCGCCTGAAAGAAGAAAGTCATATACACCTAGGATGACTTGAGGGCGAGTAATTTTTGGGTGAACTGACCCTTTAATACTAGACCAAACCAGCTTGCTCAAAAGGGTTTACCTGATCAAACTACTAGATGGTTGTCCAGCTTATCAATTATCTAGACCAGCTCAGACCAGCTAATGGCCATCTAAGACCAGTGTTGTTATTGTTATTGAAATTATCAAAACAGTTTTCTGTAATTAAAATAATTTTGAAATAATATATAAATATTAGATAAAAAAAAAAAAAACGTAAAAAACGTACTAACTGAAATAAATTATTTTACGTAAAAAGTTAAATAAATATACAATTTTATTAATAAAAATAAATTAAAGCTAATAAAAAAAACTAGTGAACTAAAATTAAAAATAAAAACGAATTCACGGAACATTTCTTTTAATCCAGGGTGAGTTGTTCTTGGTGTAACAAATTAAGGTGCATACTTGGAACAATCAGGCTATAAGCAACTTAAAAATATATGCACACAGTAATACCACATTAGGAGCTCCCAGCTGAACAAGAAAGAGAGTAAATTAGTCGAAGTAATGTTTCATTTCATCGCATTCTGCTTTTAATCACTTCATATCCTTTTTTTATGAATTCAAAGAGCTCTTGTATTAGTAGTCATGTATAAAATTGCTTACACATGTATTCCCAGATAGGCAGAGACGCTTGTTGAAGCCAAACATCCCACGGGGTTTTGTATTAGATTAGTCGCAGTCTCTCGGGCACAAAGGATTTATGAAAATTCTCTCTCTTTTCCTTTGTTTTTGTCTCCCGGTCTTTCTCTCTTTTGTTCCTTAAAGTTCTGCAGGAGGATAACTAAAAAGACACTGTTGCCATGATACTGCTCTCCTTGATTTTTCTGTTGTGATGTAACTGTACAGATCCGTGTTGTTTTTCTTTTTGGTTATTGTGTTGCAGTTAGAACCAAATATAATCCTCTCACTGCGTGTGTTAAAGCAAAAGTCACAAAGACAAGGAAAAACTCTTCCAGAGAGATTTGATTTCATTTGGCTGTATTACATACTCTCTGGTGCTCTGTTCCAAAACCAAGTGAACTTGAATGGAATCAACGCAACAAGTTTTGTCTATGTATTTTTATGCTTATTAGAGTATTCGTGCCATTATCTCAGCAACATGATAATTCTGAAATTAGTTATTAGGGTCGAATCTCCCAAGTTTAGCACTTTTTGTGTGTCGTGTCTTTGTAGAGTATACAATTGGGTCACTTATGACAAGGAAGCTATATTGGGTCTTGGGACTTGTTTGGAATCTGGAAATGGTAACGTATACCGGTGTTGTTAATTCTGAACAACAGGCTTAAAGCCAAAGTGAAATTCCCGCCATAGCTGTATTACAGGCACCAAAGTCCGTTTTATAATAGTGAAATGATCAAAACGAGGGCATAGTGCTGGAAAGTCACTTTAAAACTGCACTGCTTTAGACGAATTCAAAATGCAGGATGTATCACAATGACAAAGAATAGTTGGAGAATATGCCCTATTAATTTTATCCTCACAAGTCTTTCTCTCGCCCTCCCTCTCCATCTCTCTTTCTCTGGTGTTTGTGGGGATCAGGAAGGATTTGGGTGGAGTGTTTCAGTGGCAGGTGGGCAAAATCTGTTCACAAAAAAAGCTCTTTCTAAAGCGAAAACTCAAGATTTAACTGTTAGCATTCATATTGTTGGAATGTTTTCCATGAAACACATATTTGCAAGGCTTTTGATAATGTAGTATTATTTGATGTCCCAGATTTTCCCCTTCACCCCCTGTGGGTTTTAGAATGCTTATCTTAATAACATAGCCATGCTTTCTCAGTGGGGAATAGCAAAACATGGGGTGATGATTTCTTTGTTTTTTTAGACATTTATTCAACATAAACAGAGTCATTGTTATATTAAAGGGACATTTCACCCAAAATGCTGTCATAGTTTACGCAGCCTCATGTCATTGTAAACCTGTATGCATTTCTCTCCTTTGCAGAACACAAAAGAAGGTATTTTAAAAGAACGCTGGGGTCCAAATAACATTAGGACCTATTTTCACTTTATGGACAAAAATCCACTGAGACATTTTTTTTTTTTAAATGTCTTCTTTTGTGTTTCACAGAAAAAGAAAGTCATCCAGGTTTGGAACGGCATAAGAGTGAGTAAATTTTGATGTGTTTCTGATGTTTCTAAGAAATTATAGCATCCTTATCATGGATAAATTATATGAAAACAACACTCATTTACAGGGGATGGCAGTAACAATTGTCTATCCCAAATCTCAGAAGAAGAGAAGGCGAGGTGGATGCAGCCAGTAGAAGAGAAGTAAACACACACACACACACACACACACACACACACACACACACACACACACACACACACACACACAAGCCAAGTAGCATTAGCACTGGGACGTCTGGCAACCAAAATGTATCACCGCCCTTCCCGACGGACTATCTTAAATTGTGAAGTAAAATTCCTTCCTTGATTTGTGTTGTTCACTCTCTTGACTTATTTAAGGGAAAAATATGATCACGGAAGTTTATGATCATGGTGATTTGTCCGCAGTGCAAATGCTGCTTGGCTTGTGTGTGTGTGTGTGTGTTTACTTCTCCTCTTCCGGCTGCATCCACCTCGGCTTCTCTTCTTCTGACATTTGGGATAGACAATTGTTACTGCTATCCCCTGTAAATGAGTGTTGTTCTCATATAATTTGCTTTTGCTAAGTGATACAGATTGGATGCGCAATAGAGAAAATTGCAAAAATTGCTGACTGTGTGTGTGTGTGTATATGTTAAGAGGTGCATGGATTTATGCTAGTATTTCAGTTCTACTCAGCCAAAATAGACAGACCAGGATGGAAAAGGGAAAGCCAAAGAAAAGCAGACCGCCATTCCTATCCAAATTTCGACATCATAAATTATCTTTTTTTATTTAGTCTAGTTAAATTCATTTCGGGCTACCAAAAGCTGTGCTTATGTAATGCTCACAGAAAGCGGTATCGTAATTTGCATCAGATCTGATGTAAAGAAGCTGTTGTTTTTTTTGTGTGTGCATCAGTATTGTGATCCATAAGCTTTATGACCTCATTTTTGGTGTGCTGTGCATGGTTTTTGGAGGCAGTGGTTCATATAGCTGTGCTGGTTTCAGCTCGGGTCATAATGTAATAGATGAGTGGTGATCCTGGATCTCTGCATTTGCTTAGCTCTGCAGGCATTGCTGGTCCATCATAGGATTACTGTTCAATCAGGATTTGACGTTTCCTGACAGTGCTACACGATATTGCCCTGCTGTATTAGATCTGTACTAGTTTCACTGGTCCACCTCTTGGAGTCCAGCAAAGACCTCCTGCTCAATGTCAGCTGGCTAGGCTTTTGAATGAAACACAGACCACCTTGACCATTGGCTTCAGGTAAGTGTGTCTGCGGCAGCACGTGTTCCTGACTTCCTGTCCAAAGGGATTTCATTGTGTTCATTATCATCAGGGACACATTTTGTGTGTGTTTGTATGTGACGTCACAAGGGGGAAGAGTGGATTTAAGCTGGCTTTATTTGGTCTGTAATCCCTCATAGCAATCTGAATGAGTAAAATGTTTGGAGTTGGAGCGGATCAGCTTCGCTGGATTATCACAAACCCCTGCCTCCCCCACACCAACCCTCCCCTTGTTAAAATTTTCCTTCCTGTCTCTCCGTTTTCTTTCTTTTTCTTTCCCTCTGTCTGTTCACGCTTGTCGCTTTGCATTGCCAGAATGGAGTAGTCAGGCAGGCTTCACCTACCAACATTATTTGTGCGAGCGCTTGGTGTCCTCTTTCCTGCTTCCATCACCACCAGCAGTATTCCCCAGATTAATTATTCACCGGTCGCCAAGCAAGAGGAGCCATTTGATAGCCAGACCTTGCCACTGTGATAGAGACGGGAGACAGAAATTACAACTGGACCTCAGGTGAAAAGCAATATCTTCTGTTTTAATTTTTTCTTCCATACTCCTTCCTTTCACCACTTGACATCAGCCTGCAACTAGGAACTTAAAGGAAAACCTCTCTCATTTTTCTTCCCTGTGAGTAAGGTATATCTATTCCTCATGTTGCTCTCCAGTAAGCAGTTGCCGATCGGCCGCTCCCAGAGCTGGGACACGCTGGGTGGGAATGAGGGTCATTGGGAGCGCAGTGACAGTGTTTACGAGCAGCAGGCCCGGATGGCTGGTCGACGCAACTCGCTGAGCTATGGAGCAGATACAGGAGGGGGATGGTACGAGCCACCGCCTGGAGTGCGTCCTCCTGACCTCGATTTGAAAAGGGAGCCAGACTCCTACCAGCAATCTCTTTACAACCAAGGTTATTTGGATCGTCCGGACCCACGTAACATAAGAAAAAGCTCCGTTCCTGAGTTGAACAGCCATTATGATCGACATTCCATGGCTAACCGTGGTTCCCTGCCACACCATGACTACTATCAGCAAGACCCAGGCATGCCACCTCGGCCAACAGACGGTTTCTATCGTGGAGAGCAACCTCATTCTCTCAATAGGTCATCAACACATTATGGAATGATGGCAGGTCCTCGGCAACTGTGGGAACAGAGTTCAGGAGGTCGGCCTGGTTCTGCTGCCCCAACACCTGGCATGCCTCCTCCCCCACCTCCAAGTTCTCATGACATGGGTCGTATTTATAGGGAAACATCCCTGCCTGGACCCCCACCTGCTACTCCTGGCACAAAAATGATGCAGGATGGGCAGCGCATTCCAAGCCGAGCACCATCTCCAGCTCGCTATATAATGGAGCCAAATTCTCCCCGTTACGGTACTGAGCCACCTGCCTCTCTCACTAGCCATTACAGTGACGTTAACGGAAGGCCGATTGATCAGCCAGCAGCCACTTGCCTGGTGGTTGATCCAGCTGCTCAAGGAATGGATGGAACTGCCCGAGGTATGGTCATGCATCTGGAAAACCCCTCACCATACACCATACAGCAGCAACAGCAAGTCCAACAACAGGCTCAACAGCAAGCGCAGCAGCAAGCGCAGCAACAAATGCAACAACAAATACAGCAGCAGCAAATGCAGCAGGTTCAGCCAGTGCAGCAAATGCAGCAAGGTCAGCAAATGCAGCAGGTTCAGCCAGTGCAGCAAATGCAGCAAGTTCAGCCAATGCAGCAAATGCAACCAGTGCAGCAAGTTCAGCAAATGCAACCAGTGCAGCAAGTTCAGCAGGTACCACAGGTTCAGCCAGTGCAGCAAGTTCCACATGTGCAACCCATGGCACCTCCAAATCCTGTCTACACTCCAGTTCCCCCTACAGCCCTTGCCCCAGTAACCACTCCTGCTCTGTTACCACAACTTCCTGCTCAGCCTTTTACTCCTGCTCCTCCTCCCACTGTCCCTCAGACCCCAGTGGCTCCTGTAGACCCTAAAAAAAATGCAGACCCTGAGTTTCTGGCATTGCTGCAAAAAGAGGGCCTCTCGGAAAGCACCATCACTTCTCTGCTGCAGCAGGGCTTTGACTCCACTGCAATGTTGGCTGTTATGGAGGAAAATGATGTGCGTTCAGTGGCCCCCAACTTGGGCCAAGCCAGGGTTCTGTCTCGTGTTGTGCTTAGTTGCAAACGACCACCTGAAATCCTTCCTGCTACCCCCCTGCATCCCAGTGCTCCAGTACGTGGCAGATCCAACAGCTTTAGCCATCGTAGTGACATTTATGCGCACCAGCCGCCACCCTTGACTCCGAGCTTGGAGTCCCAATATATGCAGCCACCCTCTACCCCAATGCAGACTGTATCTGCAAGGATGGGTGAGGGCTATAGTCGGAGACCCAGCAGTGCTCCCTCCCAGCAGCTTCTAGACCAGACCAGTGGGTATCCTGGAGCCAGGTCTGCAGGAGCATACAGTGGTTCTGTGGTTCCAGTCCAGCCTCGCCCATTATCAGGCTACAATCCGCATACTGGCTTGTCCATGTCACATATGACTGCAATGTCCCAACACGTAGGCATTCCATCACATCTGCCAGTAATGCCATCACAAATGGCAATCCACGCAATGCCACAGCCTTTGCCTGCACTGCCTGCAGTTCCGCAACCAATGACCATGCCTGCTTTGGCACCCCAGCAAGCTCCGAAGGCATACACAACCAACTATACTGTACCAATGGAGTTGTTAAAGAGGGATCGAAGCTTGGCCACGATGTCTCCCATGCCCAGTCCCCATGTAAGCCCACAAGTAATGCGCAGGGCTGGAGTGTCCTCAGACGGAGCCCTAGTACCTGTTGGTAGTGCCGGTCCAGGTCAAGGTGTGAGTCTGGCTAATCAGAAGCTCAGCCGGCGTACTGGACCTCCGGTCATTGTCTCCACTATGGCATCGCCGGACACAAGTAAATCAAAGCCCTCTTCCATTACCTTTTTCACATTCTCCTATCTTCCCCTTCTCCACCCTCTCTAGTGCTTCAGCTCCTAACTGTGTCAGAGTGAGTGTGTCTGAATCATATGATTGTAGGTTCATTGATTCAAGTTACATTTTTCCCTTTGAACTTGCACTTTTTAGAAGTGCTACACAGATGCACCTCCTTTGAAGAATAAACTGTGCTGTTTGTTTTGTTGCTGAAAAAGTAGTGAATTGAGTTGCTAATGATTTTACCAGACCATCCAGTACTGAGATATCATCTCTGTTCCTTCCTTTGCCTAATGTTGAGCAAGACTCATCTTATATCATTAAATATTATTCTTTCAGATCAAAGCTTTTGTAGCTAGTTTGGCTTTGTTTTGTTCCAGATCAGATGCAGCTTTTTTTGTACATAAAGGATTAGAAAAAAATAATAATTCCCTCATTTTTTTAATACCTTGTCATTGCAGAACCGCATACCACTGAATATTGTATTTTATCTAGCACAAGCTCATTTAAAAGTAAACTTACTTTGGACTTTCTTTTTACAATGAGTGACATAGTAATTGTGCTAGAATGTGCAAGCGTGTTTTCATTATGTTGCCTTGTGGTTCAGTGGCCTGTTAAGTTATTTGTCAGTCACATTTATGCAGTATTAGCCATTATCAGCTTCAGGGTGTCACTGAATGTTAGACTGTTTTTTTTTTATGGCTTGGAATTATATATTACATTGCTTTAATATTATTTATGTTCTCTTGTAGGCGTCTCTAAATGAATTTGGAGTGACATGTCTTATTTTTTATTCTCATGGTTTGTCTTTGCTAGTTTAAACCTCTGTCACTCTCTGCCCGTCGCTGCTGATCTGTTTGACTAAGATACTGTGAGTGAAGTGTAGCCTGTCAGTTAGTGGTAGAGCCACTTGATACATGTTTGATGTGAATTGTCACTTTGAGGTGTATATAGGCAAGATCAGAATGATGGACTGAACCAGCACAAGGGAGAGAGTGACAGTTTACGGTCTTTGCCAAGCACAATCTTGAATGGGAAATTTCAATGTGAGAAATAACTGAACATGTAGTTCATCTACAGTTGAGGGACATTATTTACACGACATTTAAGCAAAGCAATTATCATAATGCAAAAAAATAGCCTTTTCATTATTGAAAAGGCTATTTGCCAAACTGTTATTATTTGCAAAACCGTTATTAAAACCGTTATTAATACGCAAAACCATTATTTTAATTGTATTTTTTTTATGTCTTGATAGTATTTGTCAATCTGCTTTTATGTTCATTTAAATAAATAAATAAATAAACATTGTGAAACAGTCATTTAATCTGAATCTATTGCAAATTTCAGAATTTAAAGGTCCAGATGCATTACATTTAAGCGGGATTTGCTTGACTACAATGAAAATAATGTCACAAAATAAAATGAAGTCTATTTCGGATTTTTGCACTATGCAGTAAATATACAGTATGTTTTGTGGGATTCATTCACATGTTGTTGCAGGACTGATGTTGATGCACATGCATTCTTTGCAGATATTGCTAAAGACTGTAAAGGGTTATGGTGTCATATTTCTGTATTCTTGAATCCCACCTGGTGCCGCTGGTGTTAGAGACAGTTTCCAGCCCACATTGGCTGTTTCAGAACGATGACCAATGACTGCACTGAGGGGGAGGGGAGGCAGCGCAGGGAGTTTTACTTTGAGTCGAAATGGAGATTCAGTGTCAGACCCTGGCAGGAAATTAAACAACACATCACCATAGTCAGGCTAATCACATTGTGGTGATAGTAATCAGAGTGTATGGATATGATTGGAGAGCCTCTGGGGTGGGAGAGAAATGAGCAGTGATAAATATTATTAAAGGCTGACTGGTTCAGTGCCTGGTTAGCAAGCAGCTTCAGTAGGGTTGGGCAGTATGGCCAAAATCTGGGGAGATGTTATTATATTCAAGGATTGACATCAATTCTTTTGCTCACCAGCCACTGTGGCTAGTGGTTTTCCAAAGTTACTAGCCACTCAGCATTTTCACTGGCCATAATTTTGACATTGATGACATGGGGATAATCTGCCATATAGATTTTTTACTGCTGCTTCAAGACCTGATTCACGGATCCATTACTCATGCATTTTATGTGTAACTGTTTATGTTCATTTAAAACATCTGACTGTGTTTACGTGTATACTCACCAAGACCAGCATTTTGACATTATTTTGTGTGTATTCGACTGTTTATGCGCAATAAGCAGCAAAAAAGACCTCAATTTAGTACTGAGAGACGGCTTTATGTGCGCGCACTTTGGGCGTGAGAACAAAATCTGCGGGAATGAGTAAAATTATGAGCAATCCCATGCCAAAATCCAAGCCCTGTAACACCAACAATATTCATCTGAAGCAAATGAAACGAGTGAGTGAAGGGAGGCGGGTTATCTCTGTCGGAGAGATGAGAAAGCGAGAAAGCGTGGTATTCTGTGGAAAATGTATATTGGAAGCGTTTCAAATATTTCAGTGTCGATGTATCAAAAAATTTATATTTTTCTATTGACACCTCTACATTGCACATTTAAAAGACTTCAGTTGAAAAAATGCATATATTATATATAAAATCCAACCAGTCTAAATGGCTAGTAGGAGTGACTGCGTTACACACCACTGCTGAAATACACCCGCATTTGGCGGGTGTTATATGTTAGATATAGCCTGGGGAAAACCCAGACAACTTCCGGCAAATTTAGATTTGCTCTGAAAGTTAGTCTGGCAAAGAGCTCATTCAAGCCCATCTCCAATCCGTCGAAATCGCGGCACCAATCAGAAACGTTGGGGCGGGCTTTACACGATGACGACAGTGCTGGGATTTTGAAGCAGATTTTGTAGCCTACATTACAAAGATGGATGCCGCCGTCGAACATCACTCGTTCGAATCAGCTATCGCGTGTGTTTTAAGCGATTTGAACGTTTACTTTTTGTTAAAAACCGAGCAAAGAACAACACTCGGAGATGTTTCTCCTCCGCTCTGCATACGTCATCTCCTTCATCGCTCTGATTGGGTTTAGGTCTATCCGCGACGTCCGTTGGTGACGCCCTCTGGAAATGATTTGTCTATGACGCTTTGCCAGACCATAACTCAGTTAAAACTGAGAATGGTCTGGTTTTAACCAGGCTATGTTAGATAACCATTATTAAGCTATTTTTTGGGATAATCCAGTGAAATAAAAACTTGGCTGATCTACTACATTATAGCGCACATGTGTTTTTTTGGTATCCATGGGCAAGTCAGTTGTTGGAGGACTGGTTGACCATCCCTAGAATAGAGGACAGATAGCATCATAATCTTTTAACTCTTCTTTTTACGACAGTCTCTAATCCACGGCTTCCTGTCTATCTCATGCATCCTCTCGTTTCGTTTCTCTTTGAAAGGCTTCCATTTTCCCTTTGTGTCTTTTTGCCTCCCTTTGCTTCTGTTACACCTCTGCCGTCTCACTTGAGTTAATGGGTTTAGCTGGCTTTCGTTCCATGTAATGAAACCATTTCTACAGTGCCCCAGTCATCTCTGACTCCAGATGTTTCAGGTTGGATAGAGTCAGAGTACATTGCTCTTGTCCTAAACATCTGTGAAAACCCCCAGTGGGCAAGCGGTCTGGAGCAGAATATGAGCGCTTCTCTTATGCACAACAAAGTCATTTGCATGTGGGTGATGGTTGTTTGTTTAGCCAGTAATTTCGTCTGCTAATGGAAAGGCTGTAGACTGTGGGCTCGCAGGGTATTCCTTAATTGTGTGTTGCTAGGTGACCTGTTTTTGGTAGCAACGACTGCTCTGATTTTTTTATTATAATTATTATTATTGTGCTCTCTCTTTTAGAAAGCATGCACATACACCATAATGTATCGTTCCTTACGGTCTAATACATCTCAATGAACTGATCTGAAAAGAGCCTGCTTCCTTATTCCTTTACCATATATGGTCATTCCAAATGCCCCCAAAGACTAATTGCGTCTATATATGGACATGCTGGGGCGACCCTGGCAAAAGACCTTCCTTTCTAGTAAGAAGGGATTATGTAGCCATGGCGATGGGTGTCACGGTCAGACCATATGACAGTGTTCCAGGTCAGGTGTGTCCATATGTTTGCGTATTGTTGTTTGTGCTTTTTTTTTGTATCTGGTGTATTATTCGATATTGATTCTTGATTCTTTTGAAGTTCTTTTTTGAACAAGAGCTCTTAGGACTGAGGCGTTTTGAGTGATCATCCTGTAGTCTGGGATAAGCCGCTCCTGGTCATGGATCAGAAGTGTTACGCTGAAAGGACGCTTCATGGTACGCTTTACTCTAGTGTAGGCTGTTAAGTTGAATTATTTAATTCTAGGCCACGGTGTTTCTTTATAGTCGCAGTAAGTGTTTATGCTAGTGCATGCTAGATTCTGTGTAATGAAATGTTGAGCCATCTTTGAGAGTCACTTTGTCATCGGCTTGACAATTAGCATGTGATTTGTTTTCAGTCTCTGAAAGAGAATCAACATAATTTCTTCTTTTTTCCCCCAGTGTAAACTAGGTGATGAGATGGTAGATTGAAGGAAATGATCAATCACAATTTAGTATGCAAATATTGTAGTGCTGTTACCACTTTTTTTTGTTTACATTTTGAATGGTCTTTAAACATGAGTCTAGCTCGGTATAACTATAAATAGATGGCACATTTAAGGCTAAAAGGACCAAAAGTTTTAATGAACACTGTGAATTTCATTTTTACTGTTTAAGCTTTTTTTTTTTAAACATGTATAATGATATTACTAAGGTTTACTTGAGTAGCTTTTTGCATATTTTGGTAGACTGATATAGAAATTATTTAGTACCATGGTATTTATCAAATTGTGGTATTTTGCCATATGGTGTATAAAATGTTAAGCAGCAAAAACTATTTTCAACATTGATAATAATCAGAAATGTTCCTTGAGCAGCAAATCGGCATATTAAAATGATTTCTGAA